CGTCCCGGGAGAGACAGGGCCGGGATGTGCGGGCCAGGTGAGCAGCAGGAGGCTCAGGATGATGCTGGAGGTAGGAGCCGGGAGAGTCAGCAGAACCCGCTCTCTAATAGCGTCGATGCTGCTCTCAGAGGCTGAGCTGAAGTGGGATTTCTCGTGCTGGGGAGAGTCCCAGTTGGGTCCCACACCAGTGTCCGGGCCTTGGGCATGCTGACAGCGACAGCAGGGACTCCCCCTTTTCTCACGTAATCATGATGTCGAAGTCAGTAGTAGAAACAAGGCGAGATGGAAGCGTGGTGTGAAGAGAACCACCTTCTGTTTCCTTAGTTGGAATTCTCCTCCTGTTGTGGAATTAAGGAATCTTATTCTTAGAATACCGCTCCCCGGGATTGTAGACGATCGCTGCGCTCTCTCCATTCATTCACTCTGTCACCAGCATTTACCGAATAGGCACTGGGAATGCAGAGACGATGAGGTCATGGTCCCTCCAGGAGCTCTGCGGTGAGCTGGGGAGATGGTAAAGTCGATCATTAATGGCACTTGATGTATGAGACAGGTGGCAGATGGCTGTGGTGGCCCAGAGGGCAGAGAGAGGGCGGGTTTCCTGATAGGGTACATTAGAGGCTGCGTCCTAAAGGGATTCATGGGAAGGAAGCCAAAGAAGTGAATGGAAGTGGGAACCCAGTGGAGCAGAGCGGGCCAGGAGCGGGGAATGTGTGAGTGAACCGGGAACCTGAGAGTAGACTTTCCCCACCGGGGAACCCTCCGGGGAGTCGGTAGCCAGCTCTCAGAGAATCGAGCTTTGTCCAGCTCGGAGATGAAGTGCTCTCGAGAGCTCTTGTTCCTGGATGTCGGGAAGCACTGTCAAAGCTTGCCTGCTCTTCTGATAAGTAAATAAAGTCTTTGGCGCAACCCGAAGGACAGCTGATCCGATTATGTGGGGATTGTTGTGGAGATGATGGTAGTTTAGCTGCTCTGCCTGGACCCGTAGTCTCACCCTGCTTGGTGGGAGAATCCAAGAGCCCCATGTGAGGTCCATGCTGGAGCATTTGACTGCCCTTTTCCAAGTGCGAGTGCGAGGAATATGGTAGGACCCACGGCTTGAAGATATTTTGAATTTACTGCCTCCCACACATGAGTTTCACCTTTAAGCAGCCCAGGAGAAAAACAGATTCAGATCAAACATGAAGACACGGGGAAGAGCATAGGCCCTGGAGTCAGATGTGGATTTGAGTCTTATGCGTGGCAATTAGGGACAGAAGGCTGTTCCCCGCAGTTACTATGGCTTAGGGCTGTCTCTGCCACATTTGTAGGTTGTAGGTATTGATTACCAGGAGGCTGTGAGGAATCATTGACAGACAGGAGACGTCCAGATCATTACCTAATAAATGTGTTTCCTCCTTCAGGTCCATTCTACAGGCTGTTATCTGAGCATTTGCGACATAAAAGATTCTGTGCGAGGTATTTGGGAGAGGCGGGATCAAAGCAGAATAATAAGACCTTTGTTTAGCTCTGAAATGGGGAAGATGTGCCCTGGCCGGGGCGGCTCAGTGGCCCGGTGTCTCCCCTGCACCAGGAGGTTGCTGTTCAATTCCCAGTCCAGGGCACGTGCCCGGTTGCAGGCTCCATCCTGTGGGGGTGGGGTGGGGGGGGAGTGCAGGAGGCGACTGGTCAATATTGCCCTCTCACCTTGATGTTTCTCTCTCTCTCCCTTCTTCTCTCGGTAAAAGTCAATCAACAAACTATTAAAAATATAAAATAAATAATAAAATCGGGGAGATGGGACAGGCACAGCCCGGGAACTCGATTGCGCCGGCCTCCTTGTATTCCGGGAGCAGCTGGGCATCTCCTGCCTCCGCTCGGTGGCACCTGCTGTCCCCTCCCCCTGGACTCGTATCTCCTCCTCCGCCTCCTTCAGATCTCTCCTCATCCGTCACCTTCTCAGTGGGGCCTTCCCTGGCTGCTGGCTCAAAACGGACCTCCCTGAGGCCAGGACTCCCACCCAGGGGGTCCTCTCTGCCTGTTCATTTGTTTTGCCCGTGACAAGTACATATTTTCCGTGTGTGTTCCCTGCCATTCCATACCTCTCCTACCTCTTCGGTGTGAACACCGCTTGTCTGATCACTTTACTGCTCTATGCTCAGTGCCTAGAGCGGTGCCTGCAGGGCACTCATAAGTGTTCACTGAATAGATGAGTGGTCAGATTGCTTAGCTTTAGAGAAAGGGAGGGGCATGTGCCAGGTTCCAGTGGCCAGAAGAACTGAAGGGATGGTAGGGTCTGTATTAGCTTCCTCTGGCTGTGGTAACACATTATCACAAACAGTGGCTTAAAAGAGCACAAGTTCATTATCGTCCAGTTCTGCAGGCCGGGAGCCTGACGGGGGTCTCCCTGGGCTGAAGTGAAGGTCCTGGAGGAATCATTTCCTCGCCTTCTCCAGCCTCTGGAGGCAGCCAGTCCTCCTCTGTCCATGGGTCCCTTCCTCACTCTTCAAAGCCAGCGATGCAGGTTAGGCCCTTCTCACACCACAGCACCTTGTCCCCTCTCCTCCTCCTCCCACCCTTAGGGACCCTTGCGATTCCTTTGGGGCCACTGGGTAGTCCAGGACCATCTCTTTCTCTTAAAGCCAGTTGACGAGCAGCCTTAACCCACTTGCAACTTGATTTCCTGGCCATGTCACCTGACACAGTCAGGTTCTGGGCGTCACAGGAGCAGGACCTGCACATCTTCTGATAAGCAGGGGGGCCCGTTATTCTGTTTCACAGAGTCCAACAAGTGAGACGCTTGCCCAGAGACTAGACTTGAGCTGCCAGTCGTGCCGTATAAAATGGGAAAATGAATCGTGAGTGGCTGTGACTGTCCAGGTGTAAGATGGTGACTTCATCATCTGGGAGGTGCCAGGAGGCTGCTAAGGGCTTTGGAGGGAGGCGATGGAACGGGGGCTTGTGGAGATGAACATGGACTTGGAGCAGGTATTTGAAGGGAGATTGGTATTTAGCTTTTTTTAAAAGAACTTATTTTATTTCCCTCATCTATTTACAGAAAGCTAGGTACTTATTTTGAATTTTCTGAAAGATGTAGTGTGCACGTACATTTTAAAAGAACTTATTTTATTTCCCTCATCTATTTACTTATTTACTCCTGTTTAGCAAGCAGGCCCCTATATATAAGCAGGCCCCTTTATATAAGGCCCCTGCTTATATAAAAATAAGCTAGGTACTTACTTTGAATTTTCTGAAAGATGTAGCGTGCACGTACGGAGCCTTTTAAAAACCACCCTATTGTACCACACGTATGCACAACATATACACATAGAGACCCACACAGCCTGTTACAGAGCACACTCACCAGCACACACTGTTCTCATGTGCACGCCCACTGCTCACCCTGTCCTGGGGCCTCTTTTCTGCGCTTCTCCGTGCTCCCCGCATTTTTTCTGCCCTGGCACACCTGAGAGATGCGTTTCTTTCCGCCAGTAACAGAGGCTTGCTCTGACAATGGCTCTCACAGGGGTCATTTCATAACCAACCCTACTGGCATGTGAGAACCTCCAGGGAGCGGTGTACAGTTTGCACAGGCTGCCCTCCTCGCCTCACCATCGCCCCCACCTGTTGTGATTTCATATAACTTCCTGGGAAGCTCTTCTCTCTACACCCATTGAGGAGCGCATGGATCTCCAACGCCTGGTTTCAGTGGGGTCCGAGAGAGCGCCTTACCCTTTGATCAGCTTCTCTATGCATCTGTCTAACAGAACTGGCTGTGATGACAGAATCCGGCATCTACCACTGCCAGTGTGGTTGACTCAGTGTGTGTTTGGGGGGAAGGGGGGCGCACAGAGGGAAAATAGGGGCCTGCTTGCTAAATAGGAGGACAGACCTTTAGCAAATGTAACTCGTAGTTTTGTCTTGAATTGCTTTGTAAATTTTTTTTATTGATTGATTGATTTTTAGTTTTCGCAAAAGTCAAAATTGGTTCACAGGCCTGTGTGTGATTGTACTCGTCTTCCTTCCCTAGCCTCATTTTGACTGATGCTCCGTATTGATTAAAGTGTCTCTCTGGGTCTCCCAACAAATGGTTCTTTCTCTTCTCCCTCTCCCCCGTCCTGTCTTTTAGATATAGAGATAGAGATGGGTTTATATTTATGTATCATACTATACCATTCAAGCATGAAAGTGTACAGTTTAATCGCGTTTAGTGCATTCGTTGTGGAACCATTATCACAGTGAATCTTAGGACATTACCATCACCCCCAAAGTAAACCCCATTCTCATTAGCCGTTACTCCCCGGTTCTCTCCAAGCTCTCCCACCACCTTAGCCCATTACTGACCCACTTTCTGTGTGTGGATTTGCCCACCGTGAACATTTTATATGAGCGGAACCATGCAATAGGTAGGCCTTTGTAACTGGCTTCTTTCATGTGGAGGCATGTTTGCAAGGTTCGGCCATGTTTCAGCATGTGTCAGTACTTTACTTCTTTATTGCCAACTAATATTCCATCGTATGGATGTGCCACATTTTATTCATTCATTAGTTGATGAGCATTTGGCTTGTATCCACTTTTTTGCTCTTAAGAGTAATGCTGCTGTGAACACTTATGCACAAGTTTGTGTGTGAACATATCATTTCCCTTGGGTATATGCATAAAGAGTGGAATTGTTAAATGCTGTGGCAATTCTATGCTTAATCTTTTGAGAAACTGCCCGACTGTTTTTCAAAGTGATTGCACCATTTTCCATGCCTTTCAGTAGCACATGGGAGTTCCAGTTTTTCCACAGCCTCATCATCACTGGATATTTTCTGTATTTTTCACTACAGCCATTCTTCTGGGTATAAAGTGACACCTCATTGTGGTTTTCATTTGCATTTCCCTAATGGCTAATGCTTTGAGAATTGTTTCATGTGCTCATTGGCCATTTGAATATCTTCTTTGGAGAAGTGTCTATTTAGATCCTTTGCCCATTTTTCAATTGAGTAATTTGTCTTTTTTTAATTTGGCCTGCACAGGATGCTGATATGCTGACTGGTGATGAGAAAGTGTGGAAGGAAGTTCAAGAATCCTTGAAAAAAATCGAAGAACTGAAGGCACAGTGGAGTATCCTTTTCCCTGTGGGTTGGGTTGTGCTGTTGGGATTGCTTCCTTACGGGTGGGAGCCTGATGTTGATGAAGCCAAGGCCAGGGTTTGCCTTCTCAGGGGGCTTTATCCTGTTCCGTGGTCCAGGAGTAGCAGGTCAGTAAGTAGTGGCCTCTTTATATGCAAAAGGTAACAATTCCTGGGTTCCCTTCCTCTCATAACCTACATCTCCAGGAAAGAGCAGCTTAAAATTCTTCCATTCCAGTGCCCTTGACCCTCAGATCTAGAGGCTTCATATCAAATCAGCAAGACTACCATGCGGTGGGAGTTGCTATGCAATAAACATCCTTGGCACAAATAGGAAGGACCAGGAGGGAGTGGGCCAAAGTTCAGTGTAAGGACAGACCCCTTTAGGAGGGCACCTGGGCAGGCTCCACTGAGGCCAGACTGCACAGGAGATGTCGCGGGGGGACAGGATTGACAGAGGCAGAGGCCCAGAGGGGTCGCTTCCGGTGGAGGAGTTCACTTGAGCAAAAACGTGACAAAGGGAAATCACAGGGTAAGAAGAAAGAGACACGGCTGATGGGAAAGATTCCAACGGGCTTTCAGATGCTTTGCAAAAATGCTTCCCAGGCACCAAGACAACCTGCAACGGAGGGTCCTGCTCTACAGACACTGTTCTTTACAGAATTGTCAACGACAGGAGAGAGCGTCACACAAAGGTTCCTGTTTTTCAAATTACTTACTCAGAAATGAGTAATTTCTGAAATCTATAGCCCAGTGAAGCTTTTTTGATGTGTATGCCTGTGTGTGTGTGTGTGGTCTTGATAAAGAATCTAGAACTAGTTACTGAAGGAATGGGAAAGGAGGCTGCCATCACCAGGATGCTGCTTGGTTCATTAAGAGCAAGTGAGTCCATAGAATCATGGTTTACTTTGGTGGAGTTTGTAGATTTCGGAAGGAGTTTAGATTGAAAAAAAAAAAGGCCAAGCAATGTATGCTAGATGCTAGCATGGCCAGACGCCTTACAGAATGGTTGACCAGCTACACTGAACAAACGATGCGAATTGGACCACTGTCACTCGGGTGCCTTGCTCCACCTCAGTCCTCTCCCACCTCTGATTCTGTTCCGTGAATGAAGACACACAACACAGGCTCCTCACATCCCCACTGGGTGTAGATGGGGAGGCTGGCGGAGGCTGGTGACAGAATCAAGTGTTCAAAGAGGCTGGAAATAGTCCTGAGTCTAAACAGATTAAATTCAACAGGAGTGTATATAAAACCTATTTGGACAAAGAAGTTCAAGTGTATAAATATACACAAAGATGAGCAGCAAAACAGAGGGAAGAATTTGAGGGTTTTAGTCAACATCAAATTATAATAAAATGTAAGAGTATAATTTAACTTCCCGAAAGACCACTGTGATCTTGGGCCACATTAGTAGCCATAAAGACTAGAAAATGAGAAAGGTGATCGTGGTAGTCTGATCATGCCTGGAGTTATTTATTCGGTTTTGGCGAGGACATATTAAGAGGGATATAGAAAAATTGAAATAAGTTTTGAGGAGTGGAACCAGGACATTGGGAAAATAGGCAGATGTGTGAGCAAAGAGAGCCATTCTTGGGCTCAAGGAGCTGTTACCCTGCAGAGACAGACTTGTCCTGTGGGCCCAGCAGCGGAATTAGGGCCCATGGATCACCCAGCAACGCTCAGTCTCGACTGGACGAGGCTTTACTGGACTGTGACTCTGCCGGGGGCCTTGCCAGCTGTCACCCACCTTGCGGTTCAGGCAGGAGGAAGACACAACCCTGGAATCACCACTCGCACACACAGGGGGTCAGTAAATCCGTAAATTAATACGTATTTAGGTAAAATGTAGGTGTCACGCATTTTATTGTACAGTGGGGCCTTGACTTACGAGTGTCCCGACTAACGAGTTTTTTGAGATACCAGCTGTCTCTCAGCCGATTTTTTGCATTAAGTTGACAGAGTAATTTGAATTAAGGAGCTCCTTAACAAGCTCGGTCTCGGAACGAATTAAACTCGTAAGTCAAGGCCCCACTGTACTTTGCTTTATGGGCTTCACAGGTGTTGTATTTTTGTTGTTGTTGTCAACCCTCCCCTGAGGATATGTTTCCATTGACTTTTAGAGAGAGCGGAAGGGAGGGGTCAGACAGAGAGAGAGAGAGAGACACATGGATTGGTTGCCTCTTGCACTCCCAGATCGAGCCTGCAACCCAGGCACATGCCCTCGACTGGAATCAAACTCACGACCCTTCAGGCCATGGGTCACGCTCTATCCACTGAGCCAAACCAGCTGGGGCGACAGGTGTTGTATTTTTTACAAACTGGAGGCAGGTCCCTCTGCCTGCAAAGGGATTACAGCTCAACCTATTGCAGTGGTCTGGGCCCAACCCGCAGGCTCCCTGAGGGCTGCCTGCATATGGCTGGGGGCATCCACCAATTAGTCTGTGTGGGAGGTCACAGCAGGGTCACAGAGGAGGCCACGCTGAGCTGTGCTGGGGGGTTAGCTTGGAGCCCACAGAGGGAGGGACCTGTGCGGAGACCCGTGGGCGCACTAGCCTGCTGCCCGGAAACAGCCAGCTGTGCAGGCTGAGAGGAGGGACGTGGCCAGGCTTTAAGGGCCACGCGCAGCGGGTGGGCTTTATAAGTGAGAGATGGTGGGGGATGGGGGTTAAGCAGTAGAGTAAGATGAGCAGGTGAGTAGAAGCCCTGTGGTCCACGTCTTTGTCTCAAGGAGCTGATTAATTCCCAAGTGGATCCACTTTGTCCCCCTCTCTCTTTCCCCCTAATCCTCGGTGATTTAAAGGTTTTCAGGGGGAAGGGAGCCTGCTCTGTCCATGGAGGGTCTGCTGGCAGCTTGCGTGGGTCCAGGGCGCCTCTGGGAGCAGCAGGAGCGGAGGCAACACCAAGCCCATGCCAGTGACTTGAGCAAACACGTCGGCACGGGCTGGGGAAAAGCCTCTTAGTTAAAATTATTCCATTTTTTTGCTCACTGGGGTGTTTACAGGGAAGGTTGGCCCGTTTGCCAGGAGACGGTTGCCAGGGCTGCGAGGGGAATTGGCACGTGGTTCCTTCCCGCTCGCCGGTGAGAAGGCAGATGTGTTCCTATCAGGGGCTGCAGCGTATCTCCTCTGGCTTCTGCTTCTGAGGCTGGTCAACTTCCAAGCTCTTTAAAATGAGTCAGAGCGCATAGAACGGAACAGGCAGATAACAGAGGTCAGACCCCAGGATGTTCAAATCCGGGCAGAGTCTTGCCACTGAAAAGTCGAGCGTCGTGTAAGAGGCAGGCATGTCCCCAACCGCGCGTCAGACGCCTGATCCTGGAATGAAAGCCACCGAGGTCAGCCCAGCATCTGTTACAGAATCACACGCTGCCTCGATGCTGCCCAGCCTCCAGAGACTCGCTCAACAAACCTGAAACACGCACAGACGAACACAAAGGACAGTCGCCAACTCGCTCTTCTTCAATCAGTGCACCTCTTCCGAGACTGGTCAGCTCCCCGAGCCAGGACTCTCCTAAAACATAGAGTGCGATGTATGGAAAGGTGCTGTGTACCAGCCTCGGTGTGTGGGCCTCGGGGCGAGGATTATGCCTCCGGGAGGCCCCCCTGGGAGAAGCATGTATTTCCCGGGAGGGTTAGCGGAGATATTAGTGCCCCCGCTCGCAGCGGCTGATGGGTTTATTGGAAGTGTCTGCCAGCGGTTGGCGAAGCAGTGCCCTGACACTGGATGCCAGGGAGGCTGATGTTGCTGGAAGGAGGGAGGAAGGAGCCTGGGCGCCCGCCTTCTGTCCGGGGCGGGGCTTGCTGGGTCACACCCAGAGAGGAGGCTTAGAGTTGGGGGTGGGGGGCCAGGGGAGCACTGGGTGGTGAAGAGACTGATAGT